TAAAATCAGTGATAGGAAACTGGCAGAGTGGTTGGACTGGAGTTTACTAGCCATGCTGTTCAAATGATTGAAGAACAAAACAAATCAGCAAAACTGCTCCACAGACTGGGGACAGAAGTGTCAAGCATTATTTACTTAATCATTACAACACTGCTATTAAGTTGGTAAATTGCTTACCTAATTTTTATTTCTTCCTTCTCTATTAAGAGTGGGTGCCTATACTAAAACAAAACAGCAAAATAACATGATTCTCAGGCACTCTCCCAACTAAAAATGAATATAATCCTTAGCAGATGAGTAGAAGTTGCTGAGCATGGTGGTGTGCCTTTAGTCCCAGCACTTGGTAGGCAGGGCAGGCGGATCTCTGTGAGGCCAGCCTGGTCTACATAGCAAGTTCCAGCTGGGACTACAGGGAGAACCTGTCTCAAAAAGACCAAAAGAAAAAAGATGTGTGGAAGTCACAAGCAGGAGCTTCCTGGAAAGCTTTCCACATGGGAGGCAATCACTACTGAATTGGGAAAGAACTCAAATGGATAAGACTGGGAGTTTGCCTCAGTGTTAAAGCACTTGTCTAGCATGCAAAAAGCCCTAGATTTTACTCCATCATCACTAAAACAAAAAAATAAAAATAAAAACACCACTACCAACAAACAAAAATCAAAACCCAAGTGAAAGTTTGGTAAGTATTTAAAGCATCCCTCCCTAATTAAACTTCTTAATTCCAAAATGAGGGAAATGGCAAATATTCCACTGTAACACACCTGCACGTTCAGCATTAGGAAGCAGAGGAAAGATCAGGAGCTCAAGATCATCTTCAACTACACAGTTGAAGGTCAGAATGGGCTACCTGAGACTCTCTGAAAAAAAATAATATGTCTGGATGTGGTAACATGCCTTTAGTCCTAGCACTGGGGAGGCAGATGCAGGCAGATCTCTACAAGTTCAAGGCCAGCCTGTTCTACAGGGAGAGTTCAAGGCCAGCTGGGGCTACAGGGAGACCCTTTCTCAAAAAGACCCCCCCCACAAAATACATACATACATATATATATATATAAATCATTAATAATGGGCCAATTAGATGTGCCTTCTTTTAAAAAATATTATTTTTATTTTTTGTGTATGAATATATAACTTGTATGTAAGTGCACCTGTGTCATTCAATGCCCAAGAAGGTCAGAAGAGGACATCAGATCCCCTGGAACTGGAGTTATAGATGGTTGAAAGCAGTCATGTGGGTCCTGGGACTGGAACTAGTGTGCTCTGCAAGAGCAGCCAAGTGTTTTAACCACTGAGCCATCTCTCCAGCCTGTGTTATGCCTTCTGAAAGGGTGCACTGTGAGGACAGGGATTCTGTAGGATCTCTGAATATAATGCTGGAGTAGAATCAGACTAACCGAAGTGCAGGAGCATTCTACAAACAGCCTATGCTATACTCTGCATGCCAAGACAATGAGAGACAGGAAAAGATGGAGAAACTCTTTTTTTTCTCACAGAGCTCTGCCTGGGACTAAAGGGTGAGAACAATTCTTGATTAAAGGCAACTAAAGAGATATACCATCAGGGCTGGAGAGATGGCTCAGCGGTTAAGAGCACTGACTGCTCTTGCAGAAGACCCAGGTTTGATTCCCAGAACCCATATGGAGGCTATGAATTGTGCTTAACTCCAGTTCCAGGGGAATCCGACCCTCTCTTCCGACCTCCGTGGCATTGTATAACATGGGTGCACTCACATACATGCAGACAATACATTCATACACATAAAATAAAAATAATAAAATAAAAAGAGAAAGAGATGACATCAAAATGCAACATTTAATCTGCATTGAAAATTACTCTTCCCTACCTCCCTAAGGAATATTTAGTGGAAATGCTGGTAAAAATGTTTTAAAGGAGTGTAGCTTAGATAACAGCAATGCAACAGTGTTCATTTCTTGGTTTCAATCACTCCACTGTGTTACTTAAGAAAATGGTTTCAAGCCAGGCATGGTGGCACAGGCCTGTAATCCAGCAGAGGCAGGTAGATCTCTGTGAGTTCAAGGCCAGCCTGGTCTACATAGGGAGTTCCAGCCCAGCAGAAGTTACAGGGAGACCCTGTCTCAAAATGACAATAAATATATAAATAAATAAAGAAAATAGTTTCTTCTTCGGGAATTTGAGGATGAAGTCTTTTGGGGCATGCCAATAAATTCCTCAGGGATGGCTCAGAGAGAAATGTATAGATTTGCAGAGAAAGAAATGATAAAGCACAGCTACCATCTGAAGGATCTAGGTGAAGGGCACAGAGGAATTCTTTATATAGCTTTTGCAACATCTCTGTGGTTCTGAAATTAGTTCATTAATAAAAGGTTAAAAGGGTGAAAGGATGGGGAGAGAAGCCTTAGCAAGTAGATATTCTTGGTCTCTCACAGTTACTCTTCCTGCCCAGAATAAGGATGCATTGCTGGAGACAGAAGAGCCACAAAGCTAGACAGCCACAAAGAAAGCAAGTCTAATGCCTTGTCAGGCTGCACAGATGTAACTTGGAGTCAGGTGATAATCTAGGGCTTCATCCTGCACTGCCCACCTCCAAGTTATCTGGGACACTCTTTGGTGTTCTGTTGCAGTGCACAGTGATCACAACACAGATAGTAATTAAATAATCTGTGCTACAGGGTTAGGGGTATAGCTCAGTGGTAGAGCACCTCCCTGCATGTGTCAAGTCCTGGTTTCCATCTTGAGCATCATTTAAAATTTTTTTTCCCCAAGGACCTAGTTTAAAAGTGGCAGGGTTGCAATGAAAACTGAGGTCTGCTAGGTTTGCAAAGAAAATGTGCCTTTCTGATCTACACCAGGCCTCATTCTGTGAAACAGGAATAAGAATTTCTAGCAGTCTCAAATGAGACATACACCAAAGAGAGGATCTATGGCAGGGCTTGGTGCAATGGGGAGAGATTCAGATGTTTGCTGAGTCAATGATTCAAGAAGCCAAACACATCTGTTTTGTTTTTGGTATTCTGGTACCGTGAGCTATTTCAAGTACTGGGGAGAAAAAACTATGTGGGTGATACTCTAGCCGCAGACAATAGTCAGCAATTTCATTCAGTTTCTAGGATCTTGCTCAACATGCTAGCCCCTTCCTCCAGTCCTTCCTAGAATTCCTTTCACCATCTTCAATCAGCTTCTACAACTCTAACTCCAGAGGAGGGAATGGGGAAGGGTGCCATGAGAGAAGTCCTGTGCACAATGTGGCTCAGTGGGTGGGGGATGACAAGATTTTTGCATATAGGAAGGACCGCTCTTCCCAGGCTGGCAAAAGAAAGCCCAAATTGCTGCAGCAGGCAGCTCTAGCCAGAACTGAGCAGAGACCCAGAGGCCGAGCCTCTAAAAGCTCCAAGCAAAAGAGCAAAACTGCAGGCAGTCACTGAATGCCAGCCAGATCCTCCCCCATCACACAACGCCGGTTCTTCCAATGTTGATTAGAATCACTAATACATGCTCAAAAGAAATGTGTTAAACATGTCATTGCTCTGCTGTGTTTAAAACGGTATGAATTCTGAATGGATGAAAACCAAAGATCCTGATATTTACCATACTATCAAATTAATATAAAATATTCATTTTGCTCTGGCCCAGGCCTAGGCTAGCAGCACCCTCCCAGGAAGTGGAAGGGCCATGGCAGTGACCTACTGAGACTTTGGATCTCAGGAGATGGGGGTTGCTATCGTGTTTCTTTCTTTCTTTGTTTTCAGATAGGGTCTTACTATGTAGCCCTGGCTGGCCAGAAACTCACTATGTAGACCAAGCTGGCCTTGAACTTAGAGAGATCTGCCTGTCTTTGCCACTAGAGTGCTGGAATTAAAGGCATGCATTATCATGCCTGGCCTTTTTTTTTTTTTTTAACATTTATAGAATATAATTAACCAATCATTGCATTGTACTTAAATTGAAAAATCCCTTAAATTTTTATTTATTTTTATATGTTTGAGTATTTTGTCTGCACGTAAGGTGCATCCATGTATAAAATGCCTATGGAGGCCAGACAAAGGTTATCAGATACCTTGGAACTGAAGTTATGGACAGTTGTTAGCCATCATATGGGTGCTGAGAATCAAACCTGGGTTCTCTGCAAGAGCAGGCAGTGCCCTTAACCACTGATCATCTCTCTAGCCCTGTAGCCCTGGTTGTTTTGTTTTTTTTTTTTTTGAATTGTGTGTGTGATGTGTGTGGACGCACCTGTACCAGTGTGCTTGAGGAGATAAAAGAACCACCTTATGGCTCTTTCCACAAGGCCAAGGTGGCAGTGCCTTTGGTGCTGGACTCCCTGAGCTATCCAGTGCCATCCTTGTCACTGTGGTGACGCCTACATCAGCTGTAGTCGTGACAGAGTAGATTACCCTTCTTGGGACCCTCACAGGCCACAATGGCTAGGTAACCCATATCGCCACCACCTTGCAGTTCCCAGACATGATCCTGTCTGTGTTTCAAGACAACATCATCATGTGGAAGCTGGCCAGGAATGAGACCAACTATGGCATACCCCAGCATGTTCTTCATGGTCACTCACACTTTGTTAGTGATGCTGTCATCTCCTCTGATGACCAGTTTGCTTTCTCCTAGGATGGAACATTGCACCTCTGGAATCTCACAGTGAGCACCAACCACCATGAGACTATCTGTAAGCCATACCAAGGATGTACTGACTGTGGTCTTCTCTGACAACTGGCAGATTGTATCTGGATCCCAAGACAAAACCATAAAGTTGTAGAATACTCCTGGGTGCTAGGATTAAAGGCGTGGGCCACCACGCCAGGACCTGTATTTTCTTAAAAATGGAACTACCTAGAGGATACATTTTATAAAAAGGCATAGACTGCCTTGAAGATAAAAATACAATTCAAGGCTGGGCGTGGAGGCAGAGGCCAGTCCCATCTACATAATAAGTTCTAGGCCAGCTGGGGCTACATGGAGACCCTCTCTCAAAACAAACAAAAAATACAATGCAAATTAAATTATTTTTTTTTTAGGGGAGAGATCGAATGCAGTCCCCTACTACCACAAATTATGCAGTTGAGTTTCTCGCATTTGGGGAAATCACAGGGGTCAGCAGAGCCCACGTGCAATGGATAAGCCTCACCCTAGGAAACCACCTTCTTGGTCATAGTGTCTCCCCTGCCAGGTAAGTATTAAATTATTATTATTATGATTATTTTTGATCTTTTTGAAACAGGGTCTCTCTATAGCCCCAGCTGTAGAGCAGGCTGGCCTTGAACTCAGAGATCCACCTCCTCTGCCTCCCAAGTGCTGGGACTAAAGGCGTGAGATACCACACCTGGTTTTTATGTTATATTCTTTTTTTTTTTTTTTTTTTTTTTTTTTTTTTTTTTTTTTTGCACAGAAAGGAGGATCTCTGTGAGTTCAAGGCCAACTTGGTCTACATAGGAAGTCCTAGGCCAGCCAGGGCCCTGTCATAAGACCTTGTCTTTAAAAAAAAAAAAAAAAGCAAGATGAGCTGAGCTGAGGACTCCCACTTCTTGCTTTATAGGTAGGCTCATAACTCAAGGTCAGTCAGAACACCTCAAACCCTGGACCACAGGAAATGAATTAATACAGGGCCACGTGACCCAATCAGATTCAGAGACCTGGGAAGCCTTTGGCTGGGATTACTGAGAAAAAGATGTGGAATTCTTCCTTAATGAACTTGGACTTGGGAGACTAGGACTACAGGTCTTGGCAACCACTTTGACCCACTATGAAGCTGAGAAGAGAAACCAACAAGAACAGAGTTCAGAAACAGTGCAAGCCCAGATCCTGGGGGAGATGTCTTGATGGCTCAGATGATGAACTTGGACTTGGGAGACTAGGACTATAGGTCTTGGCAACCACTTTGACCCACTATGAAGCTGGGAAGAGAAACCAACAAGAACAGAGTCCAGAAACAGTGCAAGCCCAGATCCTGGGGGAGATGTCTTGATGGCTCAGATTAAGCCACATTTGAAGGAATAGACTTTTTAGTAGCATAAACCAACCATACGCCCTATCTTTATATGTTCAGTTGTTAAGAAAATGATAATATGGGACTGGAGAGATGGCTCAGTGGTTAAGAGCACTGGCTGCTCTTGCAGAGGACCCGGGTTCAATTCCCAGCACCCATATGGAGGCTAACAGCTGTCTGTAACTCCAATTCGAGGGGATCCAATGCTTTCTTCTGACCTCTGCAGGCACTGCATGATACAGGTGCACTTACACACATGCAGGCAATACACTCAAACATAAAATAAATAAAATATATATATATATATTTTGGTCTTTTTGAGACAGGGTCTCCCCAGCAGCTCCATATGTCCTGGAACTCACTATGTAGACCAGGCTGGCCTCGAACTCACAGAGATCTGCCTGCCTCTGCCTCCCGAGAGCTGGGATTAAAGGCATGCACCACCACGCCCAGCAATAAACAAAATATTTTAAAAACTGATAATACACACAAGGATGATCCAAGTCTTATTGCAAGCTTTATCACTAAGCTCTCACTATGTTTTAAGCATTATTATCTAATAAAATCTTTAAAAAAATATATTTTTAGGTGCATGAGTGTATTGCCTGCATGTTTGTGAATTCACCTGTGTCCTGCAATGCCGCGGAGGTCAGAGGAGGGCTTCAGATTCCACTGGAACTGGAGTTAAGGACAGTTTGTGGCCATCATGTGGGTGCTGGGAATCAAACCTGGGTCCTCTGCAAGAGCAGACAGTGCTCTTAACCGCTGAGCCATCTCTCCAGCCCTATCTAATAAAATCTTACAAACAACTACAGAAGGTAAGTAATAATCATGGTTCCTTTTGAAAGGGGTGGAGCTTGGGAAGCCTAAACTTGAGAGCATGTGCAATATCTCAACTATTCCAAGTCCTCACCTTGGTCCCAACTCACATCCAACGCTGTGGCCTCTGAATCTTTTTGTTCTAATCAAAAAGGAAGTATAAGCACATGAAACCAATCAATTAAAGTAGGATGGGGACCCAGCCCTTCCTTGCACCTTCCTCTAAGGAATCCCTGAACTTAAACAATATTTTGAAAAGTGCCTCAAAGCACTTAGGCTGTAGCTCGGCTAGCAGAGTGTTTGCCTAGCATGCAAAAAACCCTGGATTTGATCCCTAGCTCTGCATAGACAGGGCATCACCATGAATCTCAACACTTGGGAGGATAAATGCAAGAGTATCAGAAGTTCAAGGGCATCGTCGTACTACATGGAAAGCTTGAGGGAAGCCTGAGAAACATAAGAATTTGCTTCAAAAACAACAGCAAAAATATATCACATTAGGAAAGGATGAGGAAGCATTCCGTAGATTGATATGGAACAATCGCCAAGCTCCAAGACATGCTAAGTAGAAAAGAGTAGAAAAGACTGCCTCAGTGGTAGAAAGCACTTGCCTAGAATTAGAATGGGTGAGGTTCTGGGTCTAATACCCTGTCCCACTAAAAAAAAAAAAAAAAAAAAAAATGGAAAAAAGAGCAAGATATAGAACAGTCTATATCTTAGCAAGATATATCACATGTAAACAAAAAGAGGATTACATATATATGTGTGGATGGATATACAAAAATGCTTATATTAATTGCCTGAGTGGCCAAAGAATGGTAAGAAATTTTCATATATGCTCTTTTGCATCTTTTTTGTTTTAGCCATATGTGTGTCCCTGGTCTAATGCCAAATTCATTTTGTTCTAAATCATCAAATTACATCATATGAAAATCCCAAAAATTCAATTTAAAAAAATCACTTTGTAGTTAACACTGGCCTTGAACTCCTGATTCTCCTGCTTATTTATTTTATTTATTTATTTATTTATTTATTGGTTTTTTTTTTGAGACAGGGTCTGCTTGTAGTCCCAGCTGTCCTGGACTAGACCAGGCTGGCCTCAAACTCACAAAGATCCTCCAGCCTCTGCCTCCCAAGTGCTGGGACTAAAGGCATGCGCCACCACGCCCAGCTGATATCCTGCTTTATATCAGTTACTTTTCTGTTGCTGTGATAAAAGACCATGACCAAGGCAACTTATAGAAGGAAGAGTTTATTTGGTTCCAGAGGGGCAAGAGTCCATCATGGCAGGTGAGACATAGAGGCAGAAGTGGCCACAGTAGAAAGCTGAGCGCTTACATCTTCAAGCAGGCACAGGAAGCAGAGAGTAACTGGAAATCTGGTAAGGTTTAAGAACTCTCAAAGTCCACTCCCAGTGAAATGTTTCCTCCAGCAAGGCTGCACCTCCTAAAACCTCCCAAAATAGCACCACCAACTGGGGACAGAATGTCCAAATACTTGAAGGCTATGGGGGAATCATTCTCATTCAAACCATCACATTCTACTCCGTGGCCGCCATAGGCTTAAGACCATATAAAATGCAAACTGCATTTAGTCTACCTTCAAAAGTCCTAATAGTCTTTACCAGTCTCAATACTATTCAGAAGTTCAGAATCCAAAGTCTCTGCTGAGACTCAAGGTAATCTCTTAAATGTAAGCCCCTGTAAAATCAAAAGACAAATTACATACTTCCAACATATAATGGAACCAAATATACATTCTTATTTCAAAAGGGAGGAATGGGGGCATTGTGGGGAAATATTGAACCAAAACAAAACTGAAAACAGCAGGACAAACATTAAATTCAGTAGTTCTATGTCCAACTTCTGGCACTTTACTTCCAAAGGGCTTAGATGGCTCAGCCCCTCTAGCTTTGCTGAGTGCAACATAAATCTCTCTCTTGGGCTGGTACCACTCACTGTATGCAGCTCTTCTTGGCAGATGTATCATAGCTCTAGCATCTCCAATATCTTGAAGGTCGCCACTGCCAACAAGACTTCAAGTTCACAGCTTCACACAATTGCTTGTTAGAGTTTTCTTTACACAGGGACACCCCTGCTGTATACTGCCTGGCCTTGGGGGCTCCCTGAAACCATGGAGGAAGAACTGATGATCCCTTCATTTTTGTATCTTTCATGCCTTTTAAAGCTAGCACCATGTGAAAGACACTGCCAAATTCAGCTGCCAGCTTAGGGTGAACCTTGGCTTGCTTCATGCATATTAAGCAGCTTTTCTATGCTGTGATTTTCTAGGCAGAAAACCCCTCCAGCATCTTCCTTTCACAAGTGAAAGGTTTAGCTAGGTGTGGTCTTGCCTTGAAAGTACTCTTTCCATTGTTTAAGTGCAAATCTGCAGGTTACTCCTTAATGGCTCTAATCTCCTTATCAAAGAGAGCAGTAGCTCTGTTAGAGTTTTCTTTACACAGGGACACCCCTCCTGTACACTGCCTGGCCTTGAGGGCTCCCTGAAACCGCCTTCAGCACATGCTTTGGAGCCAATATTAATCTTTCTAGTGTTCTTTTTCAATCCAAATTGTACATTCTGCATTTATTTCTGCCCTACTTGCTCTTTTTCATTGTAGATCTCCATAATATTCACCATTAAAAACCATACCATTGATTCAATGTTAAGTCGTCTTAAAATTTTCCTCTGCTGAAGAAATCAGTCCATTCCTTTGCAAACTTTGCCTCAGGCAAGCTCTTAGCCTGTGGGAAGACAGCAGCCAGATTCTGCCAAAGCATCCCTGTTGCCACTTAAGTCCTTATTTGGAACTATTTTGTTCTCAGCACTACTTTCTTCTAGGCTCCTACTAGAGCTGCTTGTTAAGCTCTGTTTGCAGCATTCAACCAATTTTATAGTTCAAGCTTCCAAAGTCTTCCACATTCCTCCAGACACCCACATGGTCAAATTCTTCACAGCAACCCCCCACTCCTGGTACCAACTTCTGTATTAGTTATTTTTCTGTTGTTTTGATAAAACACCATGACCAAGGCAACCTACAGAAGGAAGTTTATTTGGCTTACAACTCCAGAAGGGCAAGAGTCCATCATGATGGCAGAGGTGGTTAGAGTGGAAAGTTGAGAGCTGGCATCTTCAAGCAGGCACAAGAAGCAGAGAGTGACTGGAAATCTGACAAAGCTTAAGAACTTTCAAAGCCCACCCTGAGTGACTACTTCTTCCACCAAGGCTGCACCTCCTAAAACCTTCCAGAACAGCACCATCAACTGGGGACAAAATGTCCACATACTTGGGAGTCTATGAGGGACATTCTCATTCAGTCTACATGTCTATTACATCCCAAGTGCTGGAATTACAGCCAATGGTAACTAATTTT